TCAGCTCACTCTGCAAACGCTTTATTTATCACGGGAAGTACCAGTGGAAGACAAATGTGGGACCTGTGGAAGAGGACCTCTGTCTCCCTGGAAAAGGGACACGGAACTTTCCCTATGAGGAAAGGGTTTTGTATACTCACTATAAAATGGAGCTTTGGGATCTAATGTCCTCACACTTCATTTTTCTCTAAAAGCTACTTGTATCTATACACTCAAGCTGTGGCGTCTCACTCATCCTTTAGACTTAGGGTCTTAGATTTGGGTTTGTTCACTTGCCCTTTACAGTCTATACTTATGGTCTTTAAAAATAGAGAAGTTGAGGTGTGGCACCCCGTCAGCCGGGTAGGCGCTGTAGCTGCTTGGGAGGCTGAGGTGAGGCCAGGCAAGGAGCCCTGGCCTGTGGCCATGTCGGAGCCACTGAGAGCTGAGGACCATCCAGACGGGGGAGGGGGTGGGTGGGACGGTGGGGGATGGGGGTGTGCTGAGCACATGTGGACGCTGAGGGCCAGGACAGCACGGACCATGGCGCTGAGGCAGATTCATAAGGAACTTAGTGATTTGGCCTGGGACCCTCCAGCACAATGTTCTGCAGGCCCAGTTGGGGGTGATATGTTCCACTGGCAAGCCACAATTATGGGACCTAATGACAGCCCATACCAAGGTGGTGTATTCTTTTTGACAATTCATTTTCCTACAGACTACCCCTTCAAACCACCTAAGGTTGCATTTACAACAAGAATTTATCATCCAAATATTAACAGTAATGGCAGCATTGGTCTCAATATTCTAAGAGCACAGTGCTCTCCTGCTTTAACTATTTCTAAAGTTCTTTTATCCATTTGTTCACTGCTATGTGATCCAAACCCAGAGGACCCCCGAGTGCCAGAGACTGCACGGATCTATAAAACAGACAGAGACAAGTACAACAGATATCTCGAGAATGGACTCAAGTATGCCCTGTGATGCTACCTTAAAATCAGAATAACCTGCATTACAGCTGGAATAAGCTTTAAATTACTGTTCCTTTTTTGATTTTCTTATCTGGCTGCTCCCTTATTAGACCTCATCTTTTTTTAATTTTATTTTTTGTTTACCTCCCTCCATTCATTCACATGCTTATCTAAGAAGACTTAAGTTCTTCCAGCTTTGGACAATAACTGCTTTTATTTTATTTTAGCAGAACCGGGGATTGAACTCAGGCCCTTGTGCTTGCCAGGGAAGTGCTTTTTCCACTGAGCCATCTCTGCGGCCCCTAGTAACTGCTTTTAGAAACTGTGAAGTAGTTACAAGAGAACAGTTGCCCAAGATTCAGAATTTTTTAAAAAAAAATGAAACATGTGTATTTTGTGGCCAATGTCTTCACTCTAACTTGGTTATGAGACTAAACCATTCCTCACAGCACTAACTGCTGAAGAAGCCATCTGAGGCAGGGATGGATGCTCTGTTAGCTCGGCAGGGAAGCAGCATTATTCTGGCAGCATCCATTCTTGTTAAGCCTTCCACTGCTAGAGATTTGAGGTTACGTGATAAACTTTATGCTCGTAACTGATGTGGCTGGAGAATTGGTATTGAACTTATAGCATCAGCAGAACAGAAAATGGGATGTATTTTATGCATGTCAATAAAGGAATGACCTGTTCTTGTTCTACAGTGAATGGAAACTGGAACTGAAACACCCTTTGTATTCCAAAGTAGGGTCTCAAAACATTTGGTAATTTTCATTTATGTTATTAGGAGGCTTGGAGCTATTAGTTAATCTATCTTCCAATATACTGTTTAATATAGCACTGAGCAAATGATGCAAGTTGTCAATGGGTTAGTGATCAACTAATAGCTCTGCTAATAATTGATTTATTTTTCTTCAATAAAGTTGTACAAACAAAAAAAAAATAGAGAAGTTGGGCTGGGGATATAGCTCAGTGGCAGAAGTGCCTTCCTGGCAAGTACAAGGTCTTGAGTTCGATTCCCAGTACCAAAACCAAACAACAACAAAAACAAATAGATAGGTTGGTGAGAATAATTTACTGTTGGCATTTTTCAGCACTCGCCCTTCATGTGTTGGAAGTGGCTTAGTTTTGTTTTTGTGGTGTTGTACATGCTAAGCCAGTGCCCTACTACTGACCTACATCCTCAACCCCTTACAAGTGCTAATTTCTAATGTCTTATAATGCTGTTATGCTTTTTAAATTTTGTTTTATTTTTTGAGATGGGTCTGACTTTGTCTTCCAGGGTAGCCTTAAACTCACTATGTAGCTCAGACTGGCTTTGAACTTGTAGCAATTCTACCTCAGCCTCCCATGTGCAAGGATTACAGACATATCCCCCACACCTGGGATGCTTTTACATTAAGTGTTCCTAAAGACCTTTCAAATTGAAGTAAAATATCATAGAATTTTTTTCCAGCATTAATTTTTATTCACAGACTTAAAGGTTTAAATCTAAGCATTTTAAATTAAACAACATTTGATTTCTTTTTTAATTTCTTTTGTTTATGGCAAATGATACTGATTTTATGTTATGATAATATTAGACATACTTATTTAAGTATTAAATGATTCAACTTAAAGAAAATAATACTAACAGTCCAGATGGCATAGGATATTGGCAGAAATCAGCATGGCAATGTCCAAGTGATGGAGAGTGTGTAGCTCTTAAATGATGACACTGATACTGTTTGTTGAGCATTTATTACACAGTAGGCTCTTTGCTACTGCTGATAGCATCATCCAGCACATTGTCTGCATTGTCTCAGCCACGTGTGGCTATTGAGTGCTTGCAATGGTGCTAAAATGACTCATAAATTAAATTATTTAT